ACCTACATAATAATATTATATAATATAAGGTACATTATAATTATAAATGAAAATTGAATAGACAATTTTGTATTTTCGGACTTTTTGTCCGGCAATCAAAAAATGAATCCAGACTTTTTGTCCAACTATTTCCATACCGGACTCTTTGTCCCCAGACTTTTCGTCCGGGAATCTGTTTTGACACGTCGATGCGCCGATAACTACCAATATTTTATTATTTTCATGGTCTCCATTCTCAAAATGCAGCTTGTTGGTTGTTACCGCTCTTGTTCCCTGTCTGTAAAAAACTCTACTTTTTGACTGTTAATACAATATTACCATACAATAATTATATTTTGTATAATATGTTATTGTGTGTTGATACTTCACGGGGATTACTGATTTGTGATAGGTTCTATCTAAATTAATCCTAAGTTTAAATAAGCTGCGTTGATACCAATTTCAGATTTTTAATTGTTATTGGTTTTTAATAATAATTAGGTATAACTTATAAAATATGATTTTATATTGACCAGTTTTTGTAATCAACTATAGTTTAAAAGGATGTCAGCAACCTATATTTGTTTTCTTTTTTACACTTTCTGACCTCACTAGCCATGACAAAACGCATTTTAGGAAAATCATTTTTTTTTTAAAGGTTTTTTTTGTWATCTTATAGTAAAATCTTTCAATAACAAAAATTATTGTAATTCACTTTGTATCCCTAAATTTTTTCCCCTATTTYTAGCACATACCTAAATCAAATAAACATTTTTTTTCTTATAGATAAGCAAATTTATAATACGTATTCGTGAATTTGAATCTGGTGAATATGGTTTAGAAGAGGCAACGGAACAGATAAGAAAACTGAAACAAGAATTAGATGTACGAGATAATCAAATAAAAGAACTTATAGATTCAAGCAATCTACTTCACCAAGAAGCTGATTTATTAGAGCAAGATAACTTAGCCATGAAGGAAAAATTAGGTTTATCAGTAGATGATGTTGTGAGACCTAAAGGTATGATGGCTAGGCATAAAGAAGCACAAACAAAAATTACTATGTTACAAAAAGAACTGGATGAATGCAAGGAAGTTATTGTTAATCTTAAATTAAAAGTATATTTTTCCCCTTTTATGAAAATAAATGATTATTTTAATTTAAATACATCTATTTCAGAACCGTAGTTTGAGTAAATCTACTGAGTCCGTTAAATATATCAGTTCAGACGGGGAAGACAATAAAGGCCAAAT